GACTAGGTCGAACGGTCATAAACTACTACAAGACCGTTTCAGGCTGGACATAAGGAAGGATTTCTTTACTGTCCGAGCCCCCAAGGTCTGGAACAGCCTGCCACCGGAGGTGGTTCAAGCGCCTACATTGAACACCTTCAAGAGCAACTGGATGCTTATCTTGCTGGGATCCTATGACCCCAGCTGACTTGGCTGGACTCGATGATCTTCCGCGGTCCCTTCCAGCCCTAATGTCTATGAAATCTATGAAAGATGATGGAGAATGGCTCTGCAGTCACATCAGCCAACTTCCTCAGCACCCCCAGGTGCATCCCATCCGGCCCCATGGATTTGTACACATCCAGCTTTTCTAAATAGTCCCTAACCTGTTTCCCCACTGAGGGCTGCTCACCTCTTCAACACAAACTGTGTTGCCTTGTGCAGTAGTCTGGGAGCTGACCATGCCTGTGAAGACAGGTGAAGGTGGCACTGAGCACTTCAGCCTTTTCTGCATCCTGTCACAAGGTTGCCTCCCCCTTTCAGTAAGGGATCCACAGTTTTCTGATCCTCCTCTTGCTACTGACATACCTGTATAAACCATCTCATTACCCTTCTCATCCCTTGCTAGCTGCAACTCCAATTGCACTTTGGCCTTCCTGATTTCATCCCTGCATGCTCAAGCAGCGCTCTTATTTTCTTCCCTATTTATTTGTCCAAGTTTCCACTTCTTATAAGCTTCCTTTTTGTGGTGTAGTTTACTGAAGAGTTCCCTGCTAAGCCAAGCTGGTCTTCTGCGATACTTGTAGTCTTCCTGTGCATCTGGATGTTTTGTTCCTGCACTCTCAGTAAGGCTTCTTTGAAGTACAGCCAACTTTCCTGGACTCCTCTCCCCTTCCGACTGGCTTCCCAGGGGATCCTGCCAATGAGTTCACTTAGTGATTCAGAGTCTGCTTTTCTGAAGTCCAGGGTACTCTGCTGCTCTCCATCCTTCCTTGCCTCAGGATCCTGAACTCTAGCATCTTGTGGTCACTGCTGCTCAAGTTCCCCACCAACTCTGCTTCTACATTCCCCACCAATTCATCCCTGTTTGTGGGCAGCAGGTCAGGAAGAGCATGGCCCCTAGTTGGTTGCTTCAGCACTGCTGTATTGCCCTCGCATCAGATGTCAGGGTAATTGAAGTTCCCCTTGAGAACTAGGGCCTGTGTCTGGGAAACTTCCACTAGCTATTTAAAGAAAGACTCATCCACCACTTCCTCCTGGTCTGGTGGTCTATAGCAGACCCCCACCATGACATCACCCTTTTTTGTTTCCCCTCTGACCCTAACCCAGGGGTTCCCAACAGGCCTATCTCCAGTTTCATACTGGACCTTTGAGCAATCATATGGCTCGTTTACATAAAATGCAACTCCTCTTCCTCTTTTCCCCTGCCTGTCCTACCTGTACGGCTTATACTGATCCATGACAGTGCTTCAGTCACACAAGCTCCCACCAAGTCTCTGTTATTCCGGATTTCCGCTTCTTCCTGCTTGTTTCCCAGGCTCCGTGCATTTATGTACAGGCACCTGAGGTAACTAGTGGATTGTCCTGATTTCTCAGGAAGTATGAGAGCACCTCCCTTGTTTCCCCCTCCTGCTTGTTTTTCCTCCAGGTCGCTCGCTTCCCCACTTACCTCAGGGTTTTGGTCTCCATCCCCCAGTGAACCTAGTTTAAAGCCCGCCTCTCTAAATTAGCGAGCCTGGCTGTGAAGACATTCTTTCCTCTCTCTGTCAGGTGGATCCCATCTCTTCCCAGCAATCCTTCTTGGAAAAACTTCACTAGTTGAAGAAGCCAAAGCCTTGGTGGTGACACCATGTGCCCAGCCAGGTGTTGATTTGGAGGATGCACCTGCTCCTGCCCGGGCCCTTACCCTTGACTGGAAAGATTGATGGGAACACAACCTGAGCCCCAGATCCCCTCACCCTTGCACCCAGAGCTCCGTAGTCACTTTTGATACACTCAGGGTCTCCCCTGGCAGTATCATTGGTGCCCACATGAACGAGCAACATGGGGTAGTAGTCAGAGGGCTGGATGAGCCTCGATAGTCCCTCGGTAACACCTGGGCTCCGAGTAAGCAGCAGATTTCCCAAGACAGCAGGTTGGGTCGGCAGATGGCTCCCTCCATCCCCTGCAGAAGGGAGTTTCCAACCACCACCACCTGTCGCTGCTTCTTGGTGGGAGTTGTCTTGGTCCTTCCCACGTTGGTGAGGCCTGGCCTGTCTTCCTCCACCAATGGAACATGCTCCTTCCTAGCTGTTGCTAGGGCTGCATATCTGTTCTCCAGACAAACCACTGCAAGTGGAACTGAAGATCTCTGCTTGCTGCCAGAAGTCACAAGCCTCCAGCTTCCGCCCTATTGGGTGTCCATGTCCTCTCTCTTCTCTAGTGCTGCCTCTGGCATTTCTTCCTTCACAGTCCCGGAGGTCTCCTCCAACATCAAATCAATGAATTTGTCATGGTGGAGGATACTTCAGAGCCTTGCCATCTCCTCCTGTAGTTCTCTTTTCTGTTTCCTGAGAGACACCACCAGAAGGCACCGCTCACACCGCAGGCACTCTCTGCCCTGGCCATCACTGGAAGGAGTCTACAAGCCACAGTCCCCACAGCACCAGACCTGGACCTGGGTGGAAGCATTAATGGTGAGCAGTCCTGCCTGGACAGAAACCTCACAGGTGCAAGCAGAGGCAGTGGCTCTAGCATTGCTATGTCCTCCAGCCATTTCCCTGGGTTTCTTAATCTGCCTTCTCTCTCTTACTGCTTTTCTTCCAAGCGCACCTTCCCTAGTGAACTCGCCTGGAAGCTGGCCTCTCTATTGCTCCTTGGCCCCAAAGGGTTCCTTTTCCTCCTGCTTCCTCACACCAGGTGGAAAGGCTTGCCCCTCAAGAAGAGAGTGGATGGGGGGGGGAAGCACAAACTGGCCTGTGAACTGCCTGCAAACTGCTTACCCTGTTTTCATCCCCCATAATAGGCTCCTTTAAAAAAACACAGTTAATAGACAAAGTCTGTCTATACATATAAACAAGTAAAGTAAAATGGCGTGGTATATAGTCATTAGCCAATGCATGGACTTCCTTATTTATCAGAAACTAGCATAATGATGATAAGATAGTTTATCTAAGAGTGGAGTGCATCTTTTTAACTTTTATTATTCTTAGTATTTTTTTTTTATTGTTCATTACTGGATTGTTTCTTTTTAAGTGTGAAAACATGTTCTTAATTGATAACATCCTACCTAGTTTTGCATTTGTCTTTTCATCTACCAAGGAATGAGAATTACTTGTAACATCATTGTTTAGCAAAACTTTCTACTACTGAATATACTACCAGATATAGTGTATCCATTGTGTAAGTATATGATGACATATCACCTATAGATTATTGTTCTCTTAGCCCCGAACTTTTTTATTCCATTTTTTCCTTATTTATCTTCATAAAAAGACTGTGAAAATGTATTATTATATAGCCAAATAGCTGTATAATAGTGCATGTGCCTAACAAATTGCTGTTTGTCAGAACTAATACTAAATGCAGGTTTTTTCCTCTGTTTTTTTTTTCAGTCTAAAAATAGGCCAAGATCACGTCTTAGTATTCTAAAGAAGACTAAAGATTTTTGTTTACCTTTAAATATATTTCAGGTTTACCAAGTTGAAGAGGAAATGCGTCATCTTCTGCAAGAAACTGCAAACAATAAAAAGTCTATGGAAGAGAAAATAAGACGACTGACAAGTGCACTTAGTGACATTCAGCAAGGCCTTTGAAATATGTGATACCTTCCATTTGACAATCATGATCCTCTTCTTACTATAAAAGGAATTGCAAGAAAATATATACAGCAATAGAGATAATATATTTATTTTATATAATTGTTTTTAGTTTTCTATTTTTGCAGTTTTCTATGAAACGGTTATTCCTAGGGAAAATTGTTATTATGTAATTTATATTTTGAATGTTCATGGATCAGGTTTATTAAGGATTGTACAGTATTTTCATAATAAATAATTACATCAGTTGTATCTGTTTGTAGGAATGATTTAAAACTAAATTATCAACCAAATGATTAGAGGTCTAGAAAAACTGGTTTTTGAAAAAAGGTTGAAAAAACGGGTTACTTAGGAAAAGAGACAAGTAAGGTGAGATTTGTTAAAGCCTTCAAATATATGAATGGTGGTTATAACTAGGATAATGATAAATTATTCTCTGTAGAGGATAAAATGAGAAGTAATGGTCTTAAGCCATAACAAGGAAAAATTAGATTGAATAATAGGAAAAAAAATTCTTACTGTGGGAATGGTTAAGCATTGGATTAGATTACTTAATGAGGCTATAGAATTTCCATCCTGGATCTTTAAAGAGCGGGTTAGACAAGAATGGTTGAGATGGAGATGATCCAGGACTAGATGACCTCTGGAGGTCTCTTCCACCCCTATTTTTTCTATGTTTCTATCAAAGAAATAAATGAAAACTAATCTAGAGCTAGAAAGAACTATGTAAAAGAATTCAGAAACAGGGTTTCATCCAGGGTGGTAGTTTTTTTCACTGTTTACAACACCAGTCACTGTGCTATAGAATGGTTTTTCTTTGCTAGAATATGAAAGGTTCAGTTACTGTATGTATTAACAACATATGCAACTACTTTAGTAGTGTTGGAGTGATGTTGTAACTGAGGGTCCAGGAGATGCATGAGAAGCAAGGATTTTGTGGGCAGTATATTTTGAACTAACTGCGTGATTGGGATAGATTTAGACAAGGTTTTGAATACAGTTAGTCCACAAGGTGGAGCTATTTGCTTTTAAATTATTCCTCATCTAACAAGAAAACTGTTTAAATCTGAAGGCAGGCAGAGATCACTCTACCCTGCCTTGTGCCTAAACCAAGAAGAAAGTGTTTCCCTTCTCCACCCTTGCCTATTCAGTAGGATTTCTTCCACACTTTCAGGATGTACTGTTGTGGAAAACATTTTGTATAGCACCAAAATCACACAGGTGACTAACTCTCATTTAAACCTTGAGCATTCTGAAAATATTAAAAAGCGTACACGGCCTGCGCACACACCAAATTTGCCATTTAAAATCTTTAGCCAATTCAGTTTCTCTTAGGATGTTTCTTATCTCCTGTTTTATCCTTGAGTGAGTTGTGGTCCTGGTGAATTTTGTGGTGTACTGTAAGAGTTTACATAAACCTTGTGGCACATTAAAGGAACTAAACAGCTGTACAACCTCATCCTGCCTTCGGTTATTCGCATAGATTGTCTTAGAGCTTCTGTTCTGCCAGAATTCCCAGTCTATTACAACCCTTCAGTTTTCAGTCATGCTTAATTTCTGCCATTATCCTCATCAGATTTTGTTTTTATTCCTTGTCTTTGGCCCGGCAATTCTACCCCGCAACACACATTATTTTGCATAGCTAGTTCTTTTTCTTCTCTGTGCTGCTTTCCTAATTACATATTTTGCTATCGCAAAATGTTTTGTTTCAATTAACCCATTTTGGCAGCAGACACTATAGAAATAGGGCTCTACTCCCTAGAGTAGAGTTTTAATCGGTAAATATAACAGTTGTTTCTTAGAATTATGGTAAGGAGAAAGGAAAGAAACAAATTACTGATGTGTAGACAAAGTTCAATTAGCCAAAAGATCATTGGTTGGTTAAACCCCAACAGCTTCATCTGTCCTTCAGTTTTCATTTCCAAACAAAACTTACTTCTTTTTTAAGCCAGTATCAAAAGGTTAAGGGGTATGGATATAACAGTGGTCCGTATCAGAAGGGGATGCTGGTAAAATTGAGCTGGAGAACCAGCAGCAGAAAATGTTTTCTCACTTCTTTCTGAAATCTAATTATGCAGGGCTTTCCCATAGCTATGTAAGGTCATTATTTGGGTACCCAGCCACAGCAAGGTATGGTAAGATATATGAGAGTTGTTGTACAGCAATGATTTTGCTTTCTGGTCCGTGTTATGTGATGCAATTAGCAAGATAGGAATAAATGTGAGATGAGTGATGTTCTATGTAGGTGCTTGTTAACAAAGGGAAATTTCATAATGTAATTATATTAATATGATTATTCTACTATAATTGTACCACTAATTGTGCAGTCATGTTTATTATAGAATAAGAATGCCAAAAGTGCTAATTTTTTTTCCCCAAGTAGACAAACCCTAAATCTCTGAGCTGTTGTTTGAGGTAGAACATGGGTATCAGCTGAAACTTAAGTGGCTAGTCAAGTTACTGACATCTTTAATTTTCCCAGTGGGCTTTCCACACTTCATACCAACCAGGGTCAGCTGTATTCATTAAATCTAAGTTCAGCTGTAATACGGGCTCTAGTTTTAAAATAATTTTGTTCAAAATGTTCACCTGGTATGAGATTTTCTAGGTAAACTTGAGAATCAGTGTGCTATGGCTGCCCTGTTGCAGCTCACATTTTTCCATCTGAGCCGGATTCCTTTGCAGAACAACCCAAGTCATATTAGACTCGAAGATAAGTCACAATTTTTTCATTCTATGGATGTGTGTATAAGTTTTTATTTTTATATCCATCTAGACAGCAAAAATTGTTTCTCTTTTATTTAGTCTGTTTTATAGCATATTTTTAAGTTTTTACAAATGTTAGCATTACTTGTGTTGCCAAATAATGTATTTTAAGCAGCAGGAAAGTGCCCATTTTTATTCCATTTTCCAAATTAATGGAAAGTGTTCTATAGGACTCAGGTTTTATAAATACATAAAAATATGTATTTTATATATAAATTTTGAAATTTTGCATCATCTGAAACTAGGAAAGTGTGTCTCTGTAAGCCTAAAAAAGGCAGGACTGAATTTTAATAGATTAAGCTCTGTGTGTGCATGCGTGGTATATCCATCCTGTTTCTTTTTTGCTTGATTATGCAAACATACAGGAAAGAATGTGAAAAAGCTGTTAATCTTATCACAAATGCACTGACTCTTCCACGTCCAGAACATGTTTCCTTTCACTTCCAACAAATTCTTGGTTAAATGGCTGATGGCTTAGCTGGTGCTTTTATGGACTTAGTTCCCCAGTTACTAAGCAAGCAAAGAACTTTCCCCGGTAAAGCCAGGGAATGGAACTAAACCACCTATTTCTGTGTCTGGTGTTTTGCTAATTAGAATTTCCATTCTTTGATTTCACAGTCTTACAAATGAGTTGTGAGGGTGGAGGCTGAGTGCAAGAATTGCCAAAGTGTAAAAATAGCCAGGACAACTGAAAAGGGTCAAAACTTTTTTTCCCTAAAGTCTTGGGCTTAGGAGCAGTTGGTTTGTCACTAGGTTGTAACCTGTGTTTGTATTTTCATATTTTAATTTTTACTTCAGTATTTTAGGTTTTAATCTTGAATATTAATAGCTGATATCAGTTATCATCTATATTCAAGTTTGAGTGTTTTAGTACAAGTCTCTGGATGTTTTTGGATCTGTTAGACGTGTTCTGTAACGGACTGAAAAGTGTGTGCTCTCTGAGTCAGTCCAGGCCCGCAGTTCCAGCCTGCCCCTGCCCCTGCCCCTGCCCCTGCCCCGCACTTCCAGG